TCTTTTTATTATTCCCAGATCCAATCTAAGATACCATATTGAGTTTAGTTGTCATGTCCCCTTAGACTCCTTCAGTATTTGATGGTTTCTCCATATTTCTTTATTTTTCATGACCTTTACAGTTTTGAAGATAACTCGTCAGATATTTTATAGAATATCCTTCCACTTGGATTTGTCTAATGATTTTCTCATTATTAGACTGGAATTGAGGGCTTGGGGATAAGACCATCATAGAGATGTACTGTCTTTCTCACTATATCATATCAGGGAAATCATGATTTCACCATGACATAGTACCGGTACTATTAACTTTGGCCACTTGGTTAAGTTGGTGTCTGCTAGTTTTCTCCACTGTAAAATTACTATTTTTTCCTTTCCATACTTTATTCTTAGGAGGTGAATCATTAAGTCCAGTGCACACTCATGGGAAGGGAAATCAAACTTCACTTCCAGAATGGGATATATCTACATATATTATCTAGAGTACTACTATAAGGAAGATTTGTCTCTTCTTCCCCAGTATTTTTTTGATTCAGTAATTTATGCCAATATGTACTCATTTAAATTTATTTTATACTTTGGTTTATGATCCAGTACTATGAATTGTTTTAGTTTTGGCCATTAGGAACTCTTTCATGTTGACTTCTGGCATGCCTCCATCCTTTTTCTTTAGCATTTCCTTACTTTCAGTCACTATAAGATGTTCCACACTCATCTTGTTTTTCTTTTTCTTTTCCTTTTTTTTTTTTGGCCCCAGTTCTAGAATCAAGTATTTCTCCAAAGAGCTTTGGTTCCTTTTATTAGAAAATGGTATTTAGCAGCCAAGATGTGAGGAATTAGATGTGCTTGTTGCTACTGGGTGTGACTACTTTTGGGCTATAATTTGTTTTTTTAATAAGCAGCTTTAAAGTAAACAATTCAGTGGTCTCTACTATATTCATAAAGCTGTGCTACCATCACCACAGTCAATTTTAGAACATTTTCTTCACTCCAAAAGCCCCGTACGTTTTAACAATCACCATTCTTCCTTCCCAATTTTATTTTCACACCCAGCCCTCAGGAACGACTAATCTATTCTGGACATTTCATAAATATGTGGTCTTTCATGATTCTCTCTTCTTTCACATAGCTAATGTTTTTGAGGTTCATCCACATTGTAGCATGTGTCAGTACTTTGTTCCTCTTCATTGCTGAATAATAGTCTAGTGTGTGAATATATGCCACATTTTATTTATCCATTCTTCAATTGATGGACAATTTGGGTTGTTCCTACATTTTGGCTGTGAACATTTGTGTACAAGTTCTTTGTGGAAATGAAATGCCTTACTTGGAAGTAATGCTTTCATTTCTCTTTGGCATACACCGAGTAGTGGACTTGCTGAGTCACATGGTGACTATGTTTATTCTTTCAAGAAACTGCTAGATTGTTTTTCAAAGAGGCTATACCATTTTGTATTCCCATCAGCAGTGTATAAAGCATTCCAACTTCAAGGCATTCTGGCCAACATTTTTTTTATTATTTGTCTCTTTAACTACAGGCATCCTAGTAGATGTGAAGTCGTATCTCGTGATTTTGATATGCATTTCCCTGGTAGCTAATGGTGTTGAGCATTTCTCCATGTGCTTATTGGCTATTTGTTTATTTCCTTTGGATAAATTTCTATTCAGATACTTTGCCTACTTTTAAATTGAGTTATTTCTATTATTACCACTTTTTACATATTTTGGATACATGTTCTTTATCAGATAAATGATTTGCAAATATTTTCTCCCATTCTGTGGGTTGTCTTTTTCATTTTCTTTGTGGTGTCTTTTGTTCATTCTGGCATCCCCATTACATGTATGTTAACAACTTTTGTAGTTGTCCCATAGTCCTTGGAAAGCCTGGTGTTTTTTGTTTTGTTTTTTTTGTCTTTATTCTCTTTGCTTTTTTGTATTCAAAGATTCTGTGGATATTTCCTCTAACTTGGAGATTCTTTCCTAAACTCTTTGTGGTCCTAAGCTGATCAAAGGCATTCTTCATTTCTATTAGTGTTTTTTATCTCTAGCATTTGTCTTTGGTTCTTTCTTAGGACTTCCATTTCCTTGCTTACATTGCCCGTCTGCTATCTACTTAATCCATTAGAATCCTTAGAGTTCTCAGAAAATTAAAAATAGAAACTACCATATGACCCAGCAATTCTACTTCTGGGTATTTATCCAAAGAAAACAAAAGCAATAATTCAAAAAGATATATTCTCCCCATGTTCATTGCAACCTTGTTTACAGTAGCCAAGATATGGAAGCAACCTTTGATAAAATGAATGGATTAAGAAGAATGTGGTACCTATATACAATGGAATATTACTCAAAAACATAAAAAAGATGACATCTTGCCAATTACGATAACATGGGTAGACCTAGAGAAAATTATGTTAAGCGAAATAGAGAAAGACAAATACCGAATGATTTTACTTATACGTGGAATCTAAAAAACAAAACGAAGAAGAAACAAACTCAGATACAGGGAAGAAACTCATGGTTGCAGAAGGGGAAGGAGGAGAGAATTGAGAGGAAAAGAGAAGGGGATTAAGTTCAAACTTACAGTTATAAGTCACAGGGATATACAGCATTGGGAATAGAGTAAATAATATAAGTATGTATGGTAACAAATGGATAAGAGACTTATTGTGGTGATCACATTATAAAGTATTTAAATGTCTAATCACTATGTCATACACCTGAAACTAATACAATATCGTGTCAACTATAATTAAATAATTTTTAATATATTTATTAAATTTAATAAATTCAAAAAGAATCCTCTGAATATTAATCATAGTTGTTTTAAATTTCCAGTCAGATAATTCCAGCATCCCTGTAATGTCCGGTTCTGATCACTGCTCTGTCTCTTCATTTGTGATTTTCCTTTTGGTACACCTTGTAATTTTTTTCTTGATAGTTTAATATACTGTACTAGGGAAAAAGAACTGCTATAAATAGGCCTTAATAATTTAGTGGTAATGTATAGGGGAAAGGGGAAGCATTCTACACTCCCATGATTGGGTCTCAGTCTTTTAGTGAGCTTGACTCTGGACTGTAAGCTTTTCTAAGGTAGGACATGCAGGCTGGAGTTGGGTACTGTATTCTCTTCCCCCAGGTCATTTAGACTCTGATAATACCTCAGCATGTTAGGCTCCAGTTAACTAGTTTTCCCTGAGGGCAGGCCTTGTTAAGAACAGAGTTCTCTGTTTCAAATATATAACTACATTTCTTTTGCATATCACTATACAGTTGTCTCAGAACAATTTGTTGAAAAGACTTTCCAAACCCCATTGAATTGCCCTTATACTAGTAACAGATCATCTCCATCACTGTAGATTTGTCGTTGTTTTGAAATTGGAAAGTGTGGTTGTCTAGTTCTCCTTTTTATATTGTTTTGGCTATTCTAGGTCCCATGAATTATTATATGGATTTTAGTATCAGCCTTTCCATTTCTGTAAAGAAGTCAGCTGGGATTCTCATGGATCACTTCTTTTCTCCTCTCCCCTCTCTTGGGCATTGTAGAGGAGCTTTGTGTGCATGTCATTGATTGCCTTAGCCTTCCTTCTTGTGGGATCCTCAAGTTAAGCCAAAGGTGATAGTTTAGGGCCTTCTAATTACTTCCTATGACTTTTCTAAGCATGTGCATCTATCCTAGACATATGCACAGACCTACACATTGACCTGGTCTTCTAGATTCTTAGGAATTTGTCAGAGCTTTTCAAAGCCTTTATGGACATCTCATATCCCAGCTTTTCCTATTAAATTTTGTGGTTAATCTCTTTTGGCCCTAACAAGCAATTGGGGTCTTCTAGGGAACCACTAGAAGGGTCAAATAATAATAGTGCTTTGGAAGTAAGGCTTTGAAGAAGTTCCAACCCATTTTGTGGCTGCTGTTCACTTCGAATGTGAGCTGTTTTTTTGAAGGCTACCATGGCTCTGGAGAGCCGGGCATGGTACTAGGGCAAATTAAAAGACCAAAAAGTTTACTGTTATTATTGAAGTTCAGCTTAAATAGACACTCTCTGAATTGCTGCAAGCCTTTGGTTATTTTCTAGATTGTGAAGAGGTTGATTCTTACAATGTTGCTAATTTTCTCATTGCTTTTTTTGAAGAAAGAATTTTTGAGGGGCCTGACTGCAATTTCCACTAATGTCCTTAGTTTATTTACTCTTAGCTTGTCCTTTAATTCCCTTCCTCACTCTCTTTTACTGGTATTGTTAAAGGAAGCTCTTTCTGGATTTCTTTGTATTTGAAATATGGGATACTGCCAGTGACATTCACTGCAGCAATATTTACAATAGCAAAAGAGTGAAAAAAACCAAATGCCCCAGAATAAATGTTTTTTTAAAAAATGATTCATCTGTATATCCATATGATGGAACATTGCACAGATACTAACAATCATACATATGAAGTTTATTTTATGACATAGGAAAATGTTATAATATATAGATGGAAAAAGACAGTATAAAATACAGTACATTTAAATTTTTGAAAGTAAGTTTTGTAAAGTAAAGAAGCATATGTACCAACAAACTACTGGAAGGAGCTATTTCATATGGTAGCATTTATTTTTCTGGGTGGTTTTTAAATTATTTGAGTAAAAAATATATATCTTTGTTCTGTATTATGTACCATAAGGTTGTATTAATTATTTTTTGTTATAAAAATAAAATATAATTAATGTGACATATCTGTCCATATTACTGTTTTCGTTCTTGTGAGTTCAATTAAAAATTATATAGTTGTTGAGTTTTAGTGATTTTGCATAAACACATATTTGAAGAGATGCTATAAGAATGTGCTAATAATCATCCTGGCATTTGGGTTAACAAAAATATATACAAGCTCTTTTAATCCCCACTGTTTATGGAAAGGATTTTTGTTTCTTTGGGGTGTAATAGGGTGAATTATTAGGTAGATGAATAATCTGTCGTCTCATTTATTAGCATTTCATATTTTCTTTTTCTTTTTAGGCGCATATTAAGTTTCCTATTGACTACCCATATTCACCACCTACCTTCAGATTCTTGACCAAAATGTGGCACCCCAACATTTATGAGGTAAGAGACATCTATTGTAAATTTCTCTGAAGATTTATATTTTTAGATATAATCTTTTACAATAGCCTTTATATGTCCATGCTTCAGTAGTTATTCTATAGCCACAAAGGACTATTCATGGCTTCCCACTTTTTGTTAGCAGCCTCTAGTTTAATTGTTCAAAACCGAGGGTAGTTTTATAATAAGTGTATATTATAGTTAATCTAATTAAGGCTTTAAACCTTGGCTAAAATTATAATGCATATGTGTTGACATTTGCATTTTTAAAATTTAGTAGATGAAAGTCATACAAATTTATTCATGTACCTGTCTTCTAGCCTCCATAGCAAGGGTCACCTGTTGCTATGATCAGAGATTCAGCTTTTGGGGGGGATTTATCCTGCTGTATTTGGACTGTAGAGCAATTGAGCCTTTTTTGGAATATATCCAAGGTGAAAATTAGCTTTAGACTAATCTATAAGGATACTAGAATGATGCATTATGTTTCTCAGAATAATAGGTCAGGGCCCACTAAAATATTTTTTGAGTTCACTCCTTTACCATTATATAATTTTTTTTTTTCTTTGCAGTAGAGCTTTGAAATGGTCTCATTTTATTGTAATTGTGGCCCAAGCATTAAAATTGCTTTGTAAAATTTTTAGCCTTAGTCATATAGTCCTTTTTTAAGCCTGGTGGATATTGGGAAGTGAAGTACCTTTGCTCCAGAAACAGCTACATAGCCTTTAAAATGCTTGTTAGCAAGAAATGAAGAACTTACCCAAAGGTCCTGAATTTGGATCTCAAACCTGTATAAATTAGCACGCTGGCGCAGCTTTATCGTTTTTCACAGCCTGCTTTTTTTCTGTAAGGCTTTATCTTCATTTTTCTTTCCTTCTTAAAACACGACAGATTGGTGCTTAAATGTGATATGTGGTTACATTTTCAGAAATAAGTTCCCAGAATATTTTCTTTTAGTGTATATGGTATTTGACATAATCATAATACAAATAAACAACAGTGGGTACCTTATTCTAGTCTATATCACAGATTTATCCTGCCTAGGAAACTGAGTTCAGGACACAAAGAAATATTTTTATATCCCTGTCCATTTAACAATCAGAAGTTCTTCCCTTCAAAATTATATAGTATATATAGATTTTAGATAGCAAAATTGAGAAGATTCAAGCTTTTGTCTTGCTGTTAAGAACTAATTTTAAAGCCGTATACTCACTTGTTTGTATCTTAGTTATCTAATTCTCAAACTTCACTCAAAAAGAATAAAGGATACAGAGCTCTGGCAGAAGAAAGTGTAGGTAGATAAACTCCCTTTCCACTTTTTTTTTTTTTTTTGCTACTTAGGCTGTTTAGTTCTATATCATAAGATTTAGCATTGGATCATTATTTTAAAAATATTTTTCATATTCATAATAAATTTTAACAAAATAATGCATGCAGATCTTAAAATTATGCAGTCATTTTCCATGTCATAAATATCTTGTTTTTAAAAGAAGTGATAAATCATAGTTAAAAATTATATTTGATGTAGCCAAACAGTTCGTTAGAGATTCTTCTCACATTAGTTAATTTACTTTTGCTACACTCTGGAAATGGTATCAGAGCTGAACTTTTTTTTGCCATTTCTGAGATACTTTATTTTTATGGTGACATTAACGAAATCCAATAAGTTTCAGCTGTACACTTTAACAGTAAGGCATATATATATTTACACTGTGTGTTCACCTCCTGTAGTTAGAACTGAACTTTTTGAGGGCCCATGTCACTATTTGTGATTCTAGAGATGGTTGGAGCTCATGGTTCTTGGCCAAAGGAATAATATTACTGGAAATTGCTCCCTACTTACCTGCCTATGGTAGAAACACAATAGATCTCAAATTGCTCTAGTCACCAAAATGTTTACTGCAGAGTTATCTATTCTAAGTACCTAGGGATAAACTGAGAGGAACAATGAGAGTAACACCAACAAAACAAATATACAAAAAGCAAAAGCCTACTCAAATGTCAAAATAAGGGAATTGATGAAAGAGTTTATGTTATACTAACTTCACGAGCACTAAAAATAAATATTATAGACTATCATTGGTAGAAAAAAGTTTATTATGTCAGCTTTTAAAAATCACAAGAGCTTTGGTTACAGTTTTATTAAATACATACACTGGTACATGACTACAGCCTCAGTCTTTTTTGTTGTTGTTGAATAACAGTCTTTTTGCATGTGGTAAGCAATCCATATGTGTTTTGACTGAAACTAAATGTACTCATGGATTAGGTCCTATAATTTAAGTTTACAAACCAAAATATTAAGATTATTGTGGTGAATTCTTCTATCCATATACTGAGGGAGTTATAATTAGGTTATGAAACATTTCAGTTTATATAAACCATAGTTGTTAAAACCAGTGATTGATATTAAAGGTGATTATAGCATCTCTGCAGGTTTTAAGCAAGGACATTTTTTTTCTTTTTATATACTTTAGGTACAGATGTGTCTGAAAACAGTGAGATTTAATTGCTTCTCAGGATTCTTGAATCTTGATTTATCATGTTTATTTCTATTTTGAAATGATTTTTTAGAAGAATAGTGCTACAGTGTTTCTTAACTAAGAAATATATCTTGGAAATTTGTCAAAACATAATATAACAAATGTTTAATTTTTATTTTATTTATTTTTATAATGGTGACATTGGTTAATGAAATCCAGTAAGTTTCAGGTATACAATTCAGCAGTAAGGCATATATATATTGTGTTGTGTGTTCACTACACATAGTTAGATTTCTTTCTTTCACCACATGTTTGACCCCTTTTACCCCATCTACTTCTCCCATCCCTCCTCCCCTTCTACTCTCGGGTGACCACTAGTCTATTGTCCATGTCCATGAGTCTCTGTTTGTCCTGTTTGTTTGTTGCTTTTAGGTTTATATCCCACATATAAGTGATATCATGTGGTTTTCATTTTTTTCTGTCTGGCTCATTTCGCTCAAGCATAATTATCTCGAGGTCCATCCATGTTGTCGCAAATGGCAGTATTTCATCTCTTCTTATGGCCGAGTAGTATTCCATTATATATATGTACCATAGCTTCTTTATCTAGTTGTCTACTGTTGGATACTTCTGTTGCTTCCATGTCCTGGCCACTGTGAATAATGCTGCTGTGAACATCAGTGTGCAAGTATCTTTTCGGATATGGGTTTTCAAGTCTTTGGGGTAAATACCCAGTAGAGGGATTGCAGGATCATATGGTAGATCAATTCTTAGTTTTTTGAGGACCCTCATTATTTTTCATTCTTTGGTTTCTCTCTTCCTTCTGATTTATTTCTAGATTTCTGTCTTCGATATCTCTGATCCTTTCCCTCATTTGGTCGACTCTGTTTCCTAAGCTTGCTATTTCATTTTTCATCTCTTTTAGTGTGTTCTTTATCTCCAAAAGTTCTATTTGGTTCTGTTTGAGGGTTTCAGTCTCCTTGCTAAAAAATTCATTCTGCTGATCTAGTTATTTTTTCAGTTCCTGGATTGTTGATATGAATTATTTTGGATCTCATTGAGTTTTTTCAGAAGTATCATCCTGAATTCTCTTGTCATTTAGAAGTCACATATTTCGATGTCTTTAAGCTTATTTTCTGGAGATTTTTATCTTTCTTTCTGAGCTGCCTTGTCACCTTCATTGTTCATGCTGTTTAATGGACTGTTTCTCTGCCTCGGCATTAATGGAAGCGTATTCTGCCATTTTTTTCCAGGAAGAAGAGTTATGTATAAGTCTTTCTTTAGCCTGCTGCTAAGAAGGAGTTTTTCTTTTGGTTTCCAGTAGTTGGCACCTAAGCCTCTTGGATCCCTGCTTTATATAAAGTGTAAAAAATGCCTTTTTTCCCCCTTATATTCAGTCACGCTCGCTACCCTCAGTCTCAGTCCCTATCTGTGTTAGTGACAGTTTCCATAGCTTTTGCTCAGAATCCCTTGGGGCTCCGCGGTATTCAGTCTTGGAGGATATGGGGAGAGGGCTCATCTGGGTTGGAGGATGGGGGCTGCAGTTCAGCTTGGCATTTTGCAGCCGCGAGTGTTAATAGTCAACTGTTGCTTCTCAGCCATCCCTACTTCTCTGCTGTCCCCACTTCTTTGCTTCCTGCCCTGATGCCTAGGCACTGCCACCGGCTGCGTGGAGCTCATAGCTCTCTGGGGCAGGGCTGTTTAGGAAACTTGCCACACCTTCTCTGCTCCCCCTCCTCCTGCTGGGAGCTCTGGCTGACAGAAGCAGCTTCTTTGTTTCTCCCAGTCTACCCCCAACTCCTGGAGTTCTGACCTGTGGTAGCTCTTATTCACAGATCCCTCACTCAGACATACTTGTGAGCCGGTTGGTGTTCTATGTTGTTTCAGATGTTCAGCTTATTGTTGTTTCAAGGGGAGATATCTGGGGACATCTTTCACTCTGCCATGTTTCCAACGTCTAGAAATGTTTAATTTTTAACACTGATTCCAAATGTGAAGTAAAAGCAGAATTGTTTTCTCACCTATTGATAAGAAAACAAGTTTTGTAGGACTAAAAGAAATTTCATAACTGATATCTTTTTTAATATCATTTTTTAATATTTACTGAATGTGATATTTGTGTCTTATAGAATGGAGATGTATGCATTTCAATTCTTCATCCACCTGTAGATGACCCACAGAGTGGTGAACTGCCCTCCGAAAGGTGGAATCCTACTCAGAATGTCAGGTAAGGGGTTACTTTAGGAATAATCTGGTTTTTAGGTGTTTCTTAAGATTGGCTATTATCTTTCAACAGGTACAAAAGAATCCTATTTATAATTTGGTTGTTTTGTCTTCCGCTAGAGCTTTAAGTAGCATGTATGCATCATTTTGAAGAGCTGTATTAATGGAGCAGTGATACATATGTTACTCATTTCTCTGTGTTCACCTTGGGAGAATTTTCCTAGTCCGAATTCTTCCTCTGCTGTTATCTTAAGTTCCATCCTGCATCTCTGGATCTCATGATGTCCATATTTGGATTCATTGCTGAATTCTTAGTCTTTACAAATTGAAAATTGACTTCTGTTGTTTTTTCCTTATATATGTGGATGTTTCTTATGATTTGGAAGGCTCATATTTCTTGAGATTTCCTTCGACTATGTATTGATTGATTTCTTGATCTACCTAGATGGATGGATATTTATCATCTGTTTCTTTAGTAGTGTTCTCTATGTGTAGGGGTTGCTCACATAATCCTTAAAATAATTTTGTAAAACTATATATACTATTGCACGTTTTTAAGTGCAACTTCTTACATCACAGATTTTATTTAAAAGTACATTTTTCCTCCTTGCATTCGAGTTTCCATTTACTACCCGTACTGAGTTTTATCCTAATACTTGAAATATTTTTGTTTGATAGCTTTATATTATTTATCCTATAATATTTTTCTACAACAAAAATCAGTAAGATGTTTTTTTAATTGCTTGTGACAGTAAGGTTCTAGTTAAGCTTATTTTTGTGTTGAATAATTTTACTAATACAGTTGATTAAAAACAATACAAGTATATTATACTTTTAATATATTTTTACTTTTTACATTTAATAATTATTAGAAGTGCATTTTTAATTAGATAGATATCTATTTCCAATTAGTTCATGTATCCATGAATAACGGCATTGCTAGAATGAGACTGAATACAGGTTCAACTTTATATATATCTATGTATGAATAATATACATTATGTGTATATTAGATGAAATGAGTAAGAAACCTTGCTTATGTATCATAGAATAAAATTGTACAGCAGTCAAAACAAATCCTTTTCATTCAAGATATTTGGCAAAAATCATGTAGTGATCTGTTGTCAGTCTTTTAAAAATAAATTTTGTTATAATTCCTGTACCATACATTCTCAGTTCAGAGGACACTTTCATGTAGAAGGGTCTCTCTCAGGAGTAGAGTAGGATGTTTTCTTATCTACAACCCACTGAAAGGGCAGGGAGCTAGGGACTACCCCAAGCATTGGGTGGCAAAGTAGGCAAGATCAGGGAAAATGCTCTTCCTAGGGCTCCTGTAAACCCCATTCTGAGCCAGGATGATTTTAATTGCTCCCTTGATGTTTGTACATTGGGTCTCATCACACTCTACTTGCCATTTTCATTCTGTGCAAATGATACCTATTTTGTGTGCTTTTTAAATTTCTTTTTTAAACTCAAATGTTCTGATTTTGTTTTTCTGTATTTCAATCTGAGATCCTCATTCCTATCATGTGTTCTCAAGGATATGCCAGTCAGTAGCAGCTCTAGGACTGACTGCACAGCAGGAGCTGCTATATTGTTTGTTGCTTTACCAGCATAAAGAAAAACTACTTGTAAATTGCGACCCATTAAATTACCACATTTACCTAGTCAAAACAGACTTCTTTGCCACAATGGACTCTTGAAATTCTCCCATTTTGAAACATAAGGACTGAGTTTTCACTGAGTGGTCTTCTGGTGTTACTGGTCCATCTTTTGAAATAGTATAAATGAGAGATTAAAAGGACCCAGGTCAAATAGAAGGGTTAGGCACTGGGCTTTACTTCATCACACATCAACTTCCATCAAATTTTGTTCGGCCTGTAAAACCTAAGAATCTCAGTCAATTAGCATCTCTCTCTGCATCTTCATCTATGTATGTGAATGTATGTATTAAGTCAAATAAATTTAGTTTTTTAAGAATGAACCCTTTCTATCTCACATGCTGTATGGAGGGTATGTATATACTGGAGCAAAAGTGCCAATCATTAATTCTGCAAAATTCCAGACTTTTCCTGCTTAGTTTCCAGGCAGACCTGTAAGCCAAGTCATATTTTGTTGTGTGCGCTAGGGCCAGTTTTCTGTCCTCTCTACTAAAGTTGTACATGTGGTGATACAGTGGATAACAGAGAAAGGGCAGAACCATATCATTAACTACTGTCTATATATGTTGAAAAGGGGCAAATACAAATATAACTCATTGGTTCATAGATGTCTCCCTTAAATGCTTCTTTTGTTGTTTTTTAAACATCTCAGCTCTGTAGAACTTCACAACTTGCTAGCTTGCTGTTAATGTGTATGTCTGTGTGTTATTAGTTGGTCTTTATTTTCCTTGGGTGTTTTTATTGTTCACAAACTTATATTTTATTCAAAAGAAGACAGCTAAATAAAATACTAAAGCGGGCAAAAGGATCTGAAACATGAACCTGAAGACTACATAAAACGTAGTGCTTTTGCCTATCTTTTTGTATTTACTTTCTCCTTTTAATGTTTTTCTATCTTGGCCCAGATCCTGTCCTGAAAACTCCTATCCATAGTCCCTTGCCCTGGCTTAAAGTCGGGGCAGAGGGAGCACATTTATCTCTAACTCTGGGAATGGTGGTGGTCATGGCAATTGTACAGTAAGTTAAAAACACTTAAGAACTCTTTGTCTCTCATTTTTTATCACAAATCCTTACTAGTTTAGGACTGCTCTTTATTGTAACACATGTTAAACACACCACTGAATTTGGACAGCTAGACCAGTTCCTCTCTACCTACAATGGAGGACAGTGAAGTTCTTCTTTATGGGAGCTGCGAGTCCAGGGGTGGGTGCTTGGAGTCTGTTCCAAAAAATTTATGTACTAATCCAAAAAATTTGTGTCCAAGTGCCACAAGATTGTCTAAATGGACAAATGCAACTCTATGGTACTGCTAAACCCCAGAACTTCATGTGGAACTGTGAACTTATATGGAAAAAATGAGACTAAGAGTGTTCATTTTCCTGATCCTTTCTCTCTTTGTTCATGATTGTAGGAAACCAATCCCTTCAATGGGTTTGAATAACCTCTTTACTGGGGGATATTAATTTGGTCTCTTTTGGCGGATGTTAATTTGATAGTTTTATTATTATTTCACCTGTTGTTAACCCTCTCCACCTTCGGTTTTTCTTCTGAAAAAAATAAAATAAAATAAAAATTTTAATAAAACACTGAAACTAACAAAAACAAAAGATGGCAACAACAGAAAGAGCATGTTTTGTCCATTCTGCCAGTATTGTCTTAGCAGTTAATTTTCCCATTGTATAAAAATAGAATTAATAACACTTACCTTGCAGAGTTATTTACCATGCTAAAGCTGTACTGCCTGTGTCAAATTATTTTGGTACAAGTGCTAGACAATTTAAACTGTGTATGACATTTTCTCCAAACCTTTTCAGTCATGGTACATAGAAAAGATGAAATGTTAGTAATTTTAGATTACAATGTAGTAAACTGATGGTGCCCCTTTGGCCAGTAGTTGATGTTCCAGAGGCTCAAGTTGTCCCAAGTTTAACCCACCCAACTGCCCCATGGAATCAATTTAGGTATAATTTACCTGTAACCCATCCACAACATACTGGTTTGGAAATTTTGAATAGGATGTTGCTTTTGAATTGCATCAGTAAAATCTCAATTCTGCTTTGCTCTGTTTTAGCCTTATTAGGCAAGCCCTTATCACTTGGTGAAAAAGACAGCCACCTGCTCTAGACGTTCCATATTCTCACTTGTCGGTTTAATCAAGAATAAAAAATTACCTTTCTGCTGTTAGTTTAGAACCATCATAGTGACCACCAGGGTTCTGATTGCCCCAGCTTATGTCACATGCATATCCCCAAACCTATTATCGTCATCATCATAAGATAATGGAATCCTTTGGCCAGCATTTGGTGATATGTCTACTGCTGTGGGTATAGGTAGGTTGTTTGTATGAAGGTGTGGCATGATGGTAAGGGAAGACTAATGCCACCTGAACCAATAGAATGGATTCCCCATACAAAAAAACATATATATTCTGCTTTCCAGATGAAAATGAAAATGTCCTGGGTTAACTATTATTGTCAGTCCACTAGAGTACCTGATGCTTCTAAAGCATCATGGATTTCAGTTAGGAACAAATGATAAAGTTTTTGGTAGAAATGGATGGTTCACCGTTTTTCAAAAAAAAATTGTATTTCCCAATATAGTATTTTAATAATGTACACAAGATGTAAGAAAAATGAACTTGGTGAAACTCATGGGGAAAGTTTCTTAATTAATGGTTCATCTGGACATGTGACTAAACTTAACCTAGTATTGAAAATTCAGTTCCTCAGTTGCACGGGCTACCTTTCAGAATACTCAATGGCCACATGTGGCCATAGTGGTTACCACATTGGATAAAAGATTATACATTTCCATCATCACAAAGTTGTAAGTATACAGCACTGATCTAGACCATTAAAGCTGTTTCCCTTTATACCACACTTTGTCCTTATCTTTATTTAACAGGTTTTGTACGTTTTCTTCTGAAGCAACCCTTATAGAATTTCTTACCCATATTTTTCTTTTGCTTCTAAGATGTTGTGTCTGTCCATTTCCCATTGTTGGCAGTGATGAGCTTCTTTGAGTATTTTAAATGTAATTTTTGGAGAAATCCAGAAGGATCTTGGCAGGAGGGGCAAGGAATTATTATCCTAATAGGTCGTGTGTGTGTGTGAGAGAGAGAGAGAGAGAGATTGAGATTGAGATTATAACTAAATGGGAAAGTTGAAAGTGCAGGGGCAAGGAATTATTATCCTAATAGGTCGTGTGTGTGTGTGAGAGAGAGAGAGAGAGAGATTGAGATTGAGATTATAACTAAATGGGAAAGTTTTGAAAGTGCTTTTGTCATAATTTTATATCATCACATAACAGAAACTCTACCCTTTTTAGGACTAGGTTTCATCAGATGAAACATCTGATTGCCTGGTACCCTCCCTTTATTTTTTGCTTGGGGCCAGGAGCAAAAGGCTATTTTGCAACAACACAATCTATAACCTTGCACCAGTAAGAAAAGGTAGAGAAATTTAATTTTTCCTCCCATTTTTTTCCTTACACGCACATAACTTTTAGGGGAAAAGAAACTTGAGAATAATTTGGAATATTTTGGGGAGCCTGTTGTGCTCTTTTGGTTAATTTATCTAACAGGAAATTTATTCCCTGTGATTAAGATGACTAGTTTTTATCTGTGGATGAAAACTGCCTGCTTATATCTCCCACAAGACCTATTATAAGCCCTTGGAGATCAGGCGATGGCATCTAATTTGTTCGCTGTTGTACATCTGACATCTCACTTGGTGCCTCTGGCATCTAGGTGCATAGTAAAAAGATTTCTATTATTCAAAGACTAGTTCTTTTTCCTTCATTCTCCTGCTTACCTCTCTCTTCCTTCCCTTAAAAAGATGGAAAAATACTTGTATGTAATACTGCTTCTTAGATCTTCTAAGTAGTCATGTATAGAAATTGGATGTATAAAGTAGCATCATTTTTATCCTTTCCCATCTCCCATGAAAAGATTGCCTTGAAGCTAAATATTTTTTACTTTTCTTCCTATTAAACTTGTAACTTTTAAAATGTTATTAAGAAAGCTTCAGACCTCTACTTTTTGCAGATTGGAACATGTAGCCAGTGGGATGGTGCCTTCTAGAGTTTTATGCCCTGCAACAAGATCCTAGCTAGACTCACATCTTTCTTCTGCTTTTGTCTCCCAGTTAGCTGAGTACTGAAAATAAAATTTATGATACTCTTTCCATTTCCCTAAGGTCTCAAAATATTATAGTCTTAAATTTAAAAGAATAATTTTTGAATCCTATGAATATTGGGTATTTGCATCTGACCCTTTTTTCCTGTTTCTAGGACTATCCTGTTAAGTGTAATCTCATTGCTTAATGAGCCCAACACCTTCTCCCCAGCCAATGTGGATGCTTCGGTTATGTTCAGGAAATGGAGGGACAGTAAAGGAAAAGACAAAGAATATGCTGAAATCATTAGGTAAGACGCTTTGTTTTGTGTTTAATTACTTCACATCTTTATACTTGGAACCAAGGTTATATCCTAGAACCATAAGTATAAATTGAACTTCAACGTCTACTCTCAATTAGATTTATTGTCTAGAAAGAGATTTGTGCCAGAGCGTAGGAGTTTGTTTGGAGAGACCACATAACATAAGACAGTACTGCAGCAGCTCTGATTTCCTGGGAACCAGAACTTCTGGGTTCTGGGTCAGTCAAGTTTGTAAACTCTCCCTTCTTATAATTTTTGGGATGAACACACTATGGACTTTCAACATGTTTGTTAAGTGTAGCAAGCACCCAAGGTACTTCAGACATTTCAGGTATTTTTGTTCTCAAAATTTTTATTAATGAAGCCCTGTTCATTGACCTTTTTGACAATAGCAGCAGTATCTTCTGGGTATCATCATCATCACCAACATTGGTATATGGTTTAAAAGAATCCTAGAATAAGAATTAGGAGACTTGGAATCTGCTCCTAGCTCTGCCACACTTCATGTGACCATTTTATCAGTTAAGTTTTTGGGTCTTTAGTGTTTCCATCTGTGTAAAAGGAAAAAAGTAGAAGACAGTAGGCTCTTGGTCATGTCCTGAGTAGGACATAAGGTTTTCATTACAGTACCCAAGAACTGGTACTTGAATTGCAGTATGAAATTCAATTCTCCCTTAATAGTTAATTTTTATACCCTTTAAAAATAGAGTTCCTTCATCTCTGCAGTTTAGTAAGCACTTGAATTTATACAAAATGTCCCTTTTTAAATCTAGTCAGCATGATACAAATGAAAATCATCAAAAGAAAAAGTAGGTAGTGGTAAGTAGGATAATGTGATGGAGCAGTGAGATGGCTGCTCTAAATTGGGTTGTCAGAACAGGCTTCCTCTAAGGTGAGATTTAAGTTCAGAGCTAAGTGATGTGAAGTGTGATCCCTTGTGATATTAAAAAAAAAAAAAAAAAAAAAGGGGGAAAGGGAACTGAAAAAAGAGAAGAAACATTTGTCTACAAAATTCAACAAATAAAAAAAAAAAAGCCTTGCAGAGAAATGCATGTTATCTGATTGAAAACTGCTAATCTATATTATTCAGCTAAGTTTTCTGACTGGAAACACCTTTAGATATTCCCCTGCCTAATCCATAACCATTCAGTAAGATCATAAGGATAGAATCTGGATGTCTGTGTTTTGTTTTTATCAGCCACCTAGGTGACTGGTGTACACCAAAGATTGAAGATAATTAGTATAAATAGTAAGGACCTATAGAAATTTAGAAGAGCAGGAGTGGATTGAGGATTGGAAGATGGGAATGCTTCATAAAAGGAGCCTGATGTACAAGGAAAGGAAGGATTTAGTAAGTGAAGGATGCATAACTATTCCCAAGGTACTTGTATTCTTCCTATTTCTTAATAGTTTATCTCATTCTTTCTTTCAACATTTATTATGCACCAGCTTTGTGTCAGGCACTCTGCTAAGTCACTAATAGTTTTTCTTCCTGGAGAGCGCACACTTTACTTAACAAGCATTTGTAAACAAATGACCATGTAATGAAAGTACAACTATAGAAGCTTAAACATGAGATACAATGGAAAGAATATATAATGCTGTGGCATTCCTTAGAGAGAATGCCTCATCAATAAGAATTTTTCAGGTAAAAAAGGAAGGAAAAAGCCTCTTCAGGGAGAAACATGTTTGCTAACACAGGTGTATGACAGCATGTCTTGTCAAAAGAATTGTAAATACTTTTACATAAATCTGAGGTGATTTGAGATCCACTGTCTTTAAACTCCCTTCAAAAGGTCATTAAGTGTCCTTCAGAACAGTACCTGACAGGCTGAGAGCCTTTGGTGTAGTGGAGGCTGTCAGATGCTTTCAGGCAAGTACTAAAGTTCAGAAATTTGAATCAGTATTTTAAAAGGCCAATTATAAATCCATCTTCAAGACAGAGACTTACATAAACTATTCTCCCTTCAGAAAACAGGTTTCAGCCACTAAAGCCGAAGCAGAAAAAGATGGAGTAAAAGTCCCTACAACCCTGGCGGAATACTGCATCAAAACTAAAGTGCCTTCCAATGACAACAGCTCAGATTTGCTTTATGACGACTTGTACGACGATGACATTGATGATGAAGATGAGGAGGAAGAAGATGCCGACTGTTATGATGATGATGATTCTGGGAATGAGGAGTCGTGACGTGTTCCTTCGATGCCCCTGTACTGCCCTGCCGTCTCAGGCCAAAGGGAGGGGAGCAAGTAGGGACCTAGCAGTGGCCCCTCAGCAAAAACCTATCACAGGGGGTGGGGAAAAACAAACACGGCTCCTGCTGACTCCCCTTATGGATCTCAGTTTGCTCCTTTTTATGGACCTCTTAATGGAGAGAAGGTAATCCTCTACAGAAATGTCCGAATTCTTGCATTCTTTACCCTTCCATCACTGTATTGATTCTTTTTTTCTTTAAACACAAACCCCTGCCTCACTTCATCTCTACAAAGTGTTCACAGCAAAACACGTTTGATCTGTCTTTAGATTCTTGAAGAATAGTCTTTCATCAAGACGTTAATGTGTTTAAAGCTGAGAACCCATTGGGAGTTCACAAGTGCTGCATATGCTGGGTAGCAAAAGAAAATGGAAAAAAAAAAAAACATAAAAATCCCACAAAACAAACTTAAAAAATTTTTGCCAAGGTTTAGCTGCTCCATTTACATTAGTGTGTGTGCATTTGTTCAACCCCATGGTGGTGAATTTTGTTTCTTTCTTGTTCTTAAGTCTGGGGTACAGTGGGCGTCAGGGACTTTGTGCTAAGCCTGATGAAATGTGTTCCTAAGGGCACAGAGCCCCTTCAGCTTCCAGGAAATCATAATAACAGAGGCCTCAGTTACTCTGAGGAGAGAAATCAGATTTTGTTTTTTGAAATCGATTGGGATATAAAGTCTGAAATAAATATTCATACTTTACATAGAACTGAGCACTTGATTGCTATTTATTTTAAAAGGCAGAATTGTTCTCCCCCTCCCCCAAGGGAGTGGGGGAGAGAGTGGGGATTAGTGTGTGTGGAGTCTTAGTGATGGCAACAAAGAGCTAAAACTAACTTTGCCAAGTTTGGTTGATGCTGCTGGGGGGGGCGGGGGGGAAGTCAAAACTACTGGTGATCACTGTTGGGAGAGAAAACATCTATTTTATATATTTAACAAGGCCTTTCCCGCTATACTTTCACCATGAGGATTTTTTTTAAGTAGCCAGTTTTAAGTACTCAGTATTAATACTAGGTGCATGTGTTAAGATTTTGGTTTTCATTGAGCTAGTGATAACTGTGGATTTATATGTGAGACATGAGTGACCGGTTACCTTGCCTCAGTGGATGTGACCTGGACTTTTTCTCTCCTTTCAATGTGCTCTGGCTGTGGAGTTCAAGTAGAAGTTGTGCATGGAGCTTGCCCTGGGCTTCTCTGATTCTTCTGGCAGGGCCAAGGGAGTTGGCTGCAGGTAGTGTCTGGGCAACACTAGATCTTCCTGCCATGCAGTTGCTGCAGCTTTAATTTCCCCAGTCTGAATCATGTGTTACTTCAATCAATACTAAGATCCATCCGCCTTCACCAACCAGATACTTCAGAACTTGGCAGTGATTTTTGTTTCTTATGGGAGCAGGGCCAGTTCATCGGAGGGCAGTGTTCTTTCAGTGGGGAAAATCATTATGCAAAACCATAGGTTTTAGAAGGAAAATACAGCAAAGACTGACTACAATCCTACTTCGTATCCCTGCGCACTAGTGTCAACTCCTTTCTTCAGATCTTATAGCTCAGAAAGAGCAAAAGGTTTGATGAGGGACAGGGTAGGATGGATCCTAGGACAGAGTAGGTGATGCTTGCTTCCTTAGCTTCTCCTTCCTTTCTGATCTCAGGGTTTTCATTCACTCTTCAAACTCTCCAAACGTTTGCTGACTAATTCCCAGTGACCCTCTCTGGCCTCTATGAAATTGGTCTGGTATTGAGAACATTTAACGTGCTATGGTTCATATGGGATGTTGTTTAGCCTGGTCCCAGAATATATCCAATCCCCAAGGGGCCAGGGCTACTTGTACCCCTGAATCTAGTAACCCCATATTCAGAAAACAGAGCAGTTATTTGTGTGACATAACACTGACTGCACACTCTCAGAGAAGGATGTCGGAACTAGCTTTTTACTCCCCACACTTCTTAAGTAATGCTTCCAAATAACTGGCAATCTTCTGGAGCCCAGTCTCATAATGCTCTGATATCTCACCACCCCACCCTGTGACACACACACAGTTTACAGCCAGTACTTTGGTCTTACTCTATTGGAGTCCTAAAATTAAGATTTTCTTTACCCTTACTGCTAAAGCATTTCTCTCCCAGGGCAGGCCAGGCACCTTGGCATTGTGGGAGGTGCTATGCTGCTCAGCCCCGTCCCATTAGGCCCTGTTGGCCTCTGTTGCACATTGACTCAGGGAGCCAGAGAGCCAGGTGGTCATACCTCTCAGCCCTTTTGGGTGTTACTATTGAGGGCTGGGTTTGCCTCTGATAAGAGTACAATCAGTTCCAGAAAAGACTGCGGTGTGTTTATTTGCCAACAGGTGGACATTCAGTAAGTTCACACTAACCTGTAAAACCCAGATACTGGTTCCAGAGCTCTGTCCTGAGAACACAAGGAAACTTGAGCATGTAACTTTTTTATTTTTAGGAGTGGAGATCTCAGGCTCAGGCCAGAACCTTAAGAATACAGTTGTGCTGATCGTTTGGTCAAAATCCTGCATTTTAAGATTCCTTTTGATTCTAGTGGAGACCTCTCTGGGTGCTCTTCAGGTCTGTGTTTTTTTTGAGGCTGGGTGGAGAAAGTATATTATCATGATTCCGTTGTTGCTTCTCAGAGTCTTCCCCTTTTTATTTCATATCATTCCAGAGTTCTTTTCTATTAGCCAAACTTTTTTTTGTAGTCCCTTCTTTTCTCTTAATAATTATTTGCTTCTTTATTTGCTGGTTTCCTTATTTTGGGGACATATATACAGAGATTGAAGGGGGAAATGTGTAGTTCTCCACTGAAAATTAACTCTCCACCCCTCCCATCCTGATAAAAAGTTTACATTTACAAAAAGATTCAGATGCAATTTTCAACTATTCTGAAACCAGCAGGACACACCTGACTTTAATAGTTTTCTTAGCTGAAATTGTAGATGTTTTTCTTCAGTTTAACTTATGAGAAAAGATTATCTGATGCATTTTGTGTTGAACTTCCCCTTTAGTGGTTTATTTTGTCTTTTTCTGCCCATCTGTCTACTAATAAAATGTGAAATAAAATATACCTGTATTGCTACTTCCCCATGGGATGACCCTCTTCTTTTTTTTCTCGTGTTAAAACTAAAAGATGGTCTCAGTATTTCCACTTTTCCCTTGCAGATTATGCCCAGGACTCAGCTGAAAAATTAAACAACAACAACAAAAAAAACCAGATCTTGTTGGACCTGCCTTTTATGACATTCTGCTCACCTTGCAGAACAATCATCCTCAATCCTTATTAACTTTTAAGAAAGGCTATTAAGTATACAGCCTTTTTGTTAACCTTAATTCTGAAATAGGGTACAAACTTCCAATACAAGTAGGTCACTGGAAGGGGATGAAGGGGTAATCCACTGCCCTCCTTAGGGCTATGTTTTCACTGTCACTATCTTCTGAACTTCCTGCTGCTAAAAGCAGAGATCAGGCAGATCACATAGTTTAAAAGTTCCCATTTCGTTTTCAGTTGTGGATTCTTACCTTTTTTTCTGGTCAGGATCCCAAGCTGTGGCTTAACAGCAGTACATGTCCCATCTGATGAAAGGACCATTAATTTTAGAAGCAAAAGAAAAGGTAAAGACTGGGACCCTGGGCTGATTCTGGCATACCTACATGACCAATACTTGACTTGAAGCTACTACACTCATTTTGTTTGCTTATTTAGCCTAGTCTTATTTAGGACTGAGATAAGAGGCTATCTATCATGCCTCAGGCAAACACCTCCAGGCCTGAGCTGCCTTGTCAGATTGGAGCAGTTGTGCCACCGACAAGTGGGGAGACTAGCCTCCTGCCAGACACATAGGCCCTGGCTCCTCCCTGACTGGTGGCCTAGGAGGAGGAGGAACTGGACTAGCTTAGGGGAAGTCAGAATTCTGGTCCCAGATGAATGGTTACATGGGGCTCTCTGGAGTTGAGACTTAGCCCAGGACCCACTTTCCTACTTTATACTACCTGGACTCACTAGTTACCTATTCCACCACAACAACCCCTTCAATGTCAACGAAGGTTGTATTTGGTTGATGAAGAGCAAATGTTCGGTTGTTCAAACTCACAGGCCTAGAACCGTGCTCGCAGTTCTTACCTTTGCTCCTTTGAAAAAGAAATTACCCTGCCCTGGTATTCCTGTTGACCGGGCCCTGTAAGAGACTGCCTAGCCCGTAAGTTTGTTATGGAGCTGTAAGAAAAGCAAAGTTAACTTTGATAAGCACTGTGGACTGTCAGGAGGGTTTGCTGTCTTTTCAGCTGTATCATTTACTTTTTCACTCTGTGGATGCTGTTTGGGACCAAGGCAAGCAAGGGGCCCAGCAAAGAAAGGATATTAATTTAAGCCCTCATAACCTGCTATCAGACTGACCACATGAGCTCTGCTTCAGCCCTCTGAAGTCCAAGAGTCCCTGGAACCATAATTGAGACAGCCTCCGCCCTGAGCTATTCTTTAGTCAGACCACACAGAGACCGTGCATGCTCTCAGAATTTTATTAGGTGGAGTTTGGGCAAAAGAGAAAACCCCTGAAGCAGTCGCCCACCTGGTTCAGGACAACTGGAATAAAGGAGCCTTTGCATGGAGACGTGCTCTCATCGAGCATATCTTTGATTTTTTTAAAAGCGGAACTGACTGGCTGAACATCTCTGAGCACAAATTCAGATTATTAAAATGGCAGCCAGATGAAGGCAAGTCTCTGGGGACAACACCAGACCAGAAGCAGATGCCCCTGCTCTACATGAAGACAGACAGGTGCCACTTTCATGTTGAGCAGGGGGGATATCTCTGCTATTCCCAGATTAAGATTTGGCAGAAAGGGGACATGACAAATGACAAGAGGACCAGTTTCTCAAAAAGAGAGGGCTAGGATAAAGTAATTACACAGGGACGAAAACTCAAATAATGGTTTACAAGGGCGCGAGATAAGTCGTGATTCTTCATTGGTACCTGACCCCATTACCCAGCTGCCTTAAACCAGCCCTTCCAGACACTGCCCCTAGCAGCTTGCTGGCTGAGGGGCTCTGTAGAAGGCCTGAAGGCAGAAGTGGGGAGGGGCCTTATTTTGCTACAATGAGAAGGAGCTTGAGTGGGGAGAACAGACCTAAGAGTAGCAGCTGTACCCCCCTCTAGCCAACCCCCTCCCCCAAGACTTCTATCACATTTACAAATACATACATAAATACATTACATACAATAGCGAGTCTGGGAGGCAGGCTCCCCACAGAGGCTCGGCTGACACAGTTACACGTCTCAGGAATTCTAGGAAAGGGAACTGGGCTCCCAGAACTGGGCTCCAGGTGTTCTCCTGCCCAGGGTAAGCCCCGCCTCAGCCCACCCCTCTCTTCAGGGTTCAGTTTGTCCAGTATGGAGAGTTGCCGTAGGCAGGTTTGGAGGCTTGCGACTTGGGCTGCAGGGAGCTGGGCTGGCTGCGTTGACCCGAGCCACTCTGAGGAGGAGAGAAGGCTGTCAGGGTTGGAGCAGAACCCCCAACCGAGGGCAGGGTGGCTGCCTCCATCACTGGGCTCACCTGGGCATCCTGTGGAAGGTGATGGTGTAACAGCTGTGAGTGAGGCTGCTGGTGGGCGTGCAGGATGTGCAAGAATGGTGGGGGCACATAACCAGGGGCTGCTCCAGGGGCTAGGGGCCCAGTGGAGCCCAAGGCCGAGGGCAGGCTGAACGGTGGAGGGGTCCCTGCATGAAATCCCTGCTTGTCAAAAGTCTGCGAGACAGAGACAACGGTGAGGGCCAGCTTGGGTTGCACCTCACACCAACCTACGCACCCACCTTGTTCCTCCCTCACCTGAGTCTTGTTGTAGACAGAACCAGTCATATCAGGTAGGCCAGTGGTGCTTGAAGACACAGACACTCCTAGGAGAAAAAGCAGTTGTTCCCACAAGCAGTTGGCCCCAGTTCTAGCCTCCCCCACCTCCAGGGGCACTCTGGGGTAGCCTTGCCTGAGAAGGAGTCAGAGAGAAGACAACTACTCTAGGCCTCCATCCTAGAAAGGAGGGTAGACACTACCTTTGCCAGGCCCAGAACCTGCAGACTTGTTTTGTGCCTGTGATGATCCACCATAGCCACCCTTGCTGTAGTCTCCCGCTGCTGTCCCCTGGGTCAGGTCATCATAACCTAGCATGGCAGGGCACAAGAGGCATGTGTAAGCTAGGCAAGCCTGTCCTACCCATATCTTTCCGTGCTGAGGGCACCCCTCACCTGTGCTATAACTGTGCTGGCCATAACCACTGGCTTGCTGGAAAGGGGTGGTAGGGGTGCTGAGGTTCACACCATGCTGCTTGGCTGAGGCCGGAGGGACCTGGTAGGACAAGCAAGAGAGGCATTAGTTTAGGAACAGGGCAGGGAGTAGCAGATCAGGTACCTCCTCCCCAGCTCTGAGGTGGCAAAATCACAAGGGACCTGTGTTAACACATGCTGAATCTAAAAATAGGAAAGCAACCTCACCCCAAGCCTAAAACATTCCCGAAGGCCAGTTGAGACTTTAAGTACTGTCATGTCCCTCCCTCCCTGCTTCTGCTCCCAGAGCTAGAATAACAACCCCCCTCCCCCCAACAAATACTCACAAACATGGTGGGCCCATATTGAAAGGCACTGGGCACGCCTGTGTAGTAGGGGAGGCCAGTGTAGCTATAGCCAGGTGGCAATGCAGGATTCAGGAAGGGCTGCTGGGCTGTGTGGTGGGCCTGGGATTGGCTCTGCTGTGCCTGAGCCAGTGTGGTGGGGGGTGCGGGGGATGCAGAGTCACCTCGGCCAAACTTTGTGACATCACCTAGAAGGGGAGCATTGACTCCAATCACTGCCCCTTATCCAACCAGGAAAAAAGCCAGGCTGGGTCCTTTGAACAGGAATAGGTCTGGCTGCCCACTCAACAGTGGGAAGCTAGCAGGCCTCTCAGCTCTTCTTCTTCTATTTCCAGATGCCTGGGATTAGCTACAGAAACAGTCCACTGCCCCTCACTCCCCCTTCCCCAATCCCCTGAACAGACTAACCTGAATATGGGTTATTAGTGAGGCTCCCATCTCGGCTGGCAAGGGCTGTGGGTGTAGCAAAGGGAATTCCGTAGTAATCCTAAGAGAAACCAGGGAGGCTAATAAGCAGAATGGCCTCGCCTCACTCCCAGGAGAGCAGGCCCAACAGGCAGCACAGGTGCTCCATGTGATGCCACACTGCCAGGAAACGCCAGACTGCAGGGACATCACATGCACACTTCCAGAGGGCAGGCTTCACAGAGAATTCAAAGTAAACGGTACCCATCCAGGGTCGTACAACATGGCAACCACACAGCACGCAGCATGCAGACACACTAACTGATCCCTCAATCATTCACAAGCAGGGCCACTGGAGGCCCCATCTCACACATCCATTTTACACTGAAAATGGATACTGGTGAATGCCACAGGCCAAACCAGCTCTTTTGGCTCTTCCTGTGTGAGATTCTAAGGAGGAGCTAGGAAAGCTGACTGGATGGTAGAAACCTGAAAAGAAATCAGCAGGAGCAGAGATGCCCAAGGGTTTAACAGGAGTCAGGGCAGCAATGTCAGGTAGGCACAAGCACAGGGAGCTAATGTGCCAAACCTGCCTCTCACTACCCGCTCTCCCCTGGCAACACTGACACCACACAGGAACCAAAAGTGTGGAAACCAGCAGGGCAAAACACAGCGGAGCTCCGTGGAAAAACGGAGGCCAGCCTTGACCCTTACTCGCCACTAGGGCTTTGCAATCCAAGACATCCTGCACCCTGGCCTCTGAGCCAAGGGAAAGCACTCCTGCTTTCCTCATGGGCAGCAGTGCTTGGTCACAATCAGACAAGAGCCATCGTGACTGGGAATGGCTCCTATACACCCTCTTTCAGCCTCGTCTCCAGGTAACCTCCACGAAACTTGCAGCATCCTCAGCCCAGAAACCCAGGAAGAGGCAGGACTAGGAAAGCACAGAGCTAGTAGGAACGCAACCGGGGACAGGCCTAGAGAAAGCCCAGGAGGGGGAGCTCTTTCACAGAAGAAAAGAACTGGGCACAAAAGTGCCAGAGAGGCCAAGAAATGACCA